AACCTTTAAATTTGCCCTGTAAAAAAAACTATACTTCTGCGCATGCGCCAAGAGCAAAGTTTGGCACACGAGCCTTCTTTCGCAAAACGACTCTCGTTTTGTCAAACGAGTCTCGTTTCTAAAAACGAGTCTCGTTTCTACAAACGAGTCTCGTTTCTACAAACGAGTCTCGTTTCTACAAACGAGTCTCGTTTCTACAAACGAGTCTCGTTTCTACAAACGAGTCTCGTTTCTATAAACGAGTCTCGTTTCTATTCACAAACAAACGAGTCTCGCTTTAAATCGTTTATCGAGTGACTTATAAATCGTGACGATTTAAAATCGACTCGTTGCCCAGAAACTGTGAGTGATCCGAAAACTTTATTTATGCCTCGTCGTTCGATGTTCCAATTTATCTATTGGGAGATTTGAACTGTAGACTTGAGAATAGCGACGATCCTGGAGCTGATGCCCTTGTTAATTTCTGCCGTTCCTATAACTTGTCAATATTGATCAACACGCCAACACGAGTTACAGAGACTTCGAAATCAATGCTAGATGTTATCCTTGCATCGGACACAAGACAAGTTCAAACGGCCACGGTTATGGAAAGCTCGATTAGCGACCATGACTTGGTTTATGTCACCTTAAAATTGAAGAAGGTGCGCTCCAAACCCGTCTATATTACAACCAGAAGTTTTAAACACTACAGTCCTTTTGATTTTAGCAACGACGTATCCCTGGCACCATGGTCCATAGATGTTTTCGACGATGTCGAGGACAAACTTTATGCACTTGATTCGCTATTTACTGAGATACTCGACCGCCATGCTCCAGTTAAAACCTTTAAACCACGCTGTAAACCAAATCCATGCGTAACAGACAACATCCGCGGATTGATGAGGACCAGGGATGATTGGCGTAAGAAAGCAAAGAAAACAAATGATCCGCTATCTTGGACTGCCTACAGATATTTCAGACAGGAAGTAAAGAGGGAAATCAGAATTGCTGAAGAGGAATTTGTTGCCGAACAAATCCAGAAGAATCCAAACAACACCAATAATATCTGGAAAGCAATTCGCCAGTGCATCCCCAGTAAATCTACATCTCAGCAAACATACAGTAAGAGCGACAAAGCTGTTGCAGACGAATTTAATCAGTTCTTCGTATCTGTTGGTCAGAGCACTGTTGACAAAATTACGTCCCTGGCTAATGAATGCAACCTAACACTTAATCAGAATTATTTTGTACCGAGACAATATGCTCTCTTTGACCAGTTCACACTGAGTACCATTGATTATAAACAAATAGAACGTATAATAGCAGCGATGCCTTCAAACAAGGCCCCAGGGATAGACAAAATCCCGATTCGTGTCATCAAGGATTGTCTTAATCCAATTGTTCACCCAATAACGTCTATTGTTAATGCATCCTTTCAAAACTGTGTTTTTCCATCAAAATGGAAAACAGCTGTGGTTACACCAATCCCAAAAGAGGGCGACCAGGAACAGGCAAACAATAATAGACCCATCTCACTTATACCAGTCTTATCAAAGGTTTGCGAAAGGGTAGTACATAATCAGCTCACCTCGTATCTGCAATCGAATGACACCCTATCAAAGAGCCAAAGCGGTAACAAGAGATGGCATTCGTGCGAAACGTCTGTGATTGAAACAACTGACACAATTCTTAACGCCATTGACAAAAAGAAGTTAACGGCAGTTGTTCTATTAGATATGAGCAAAGCCTTCGATAGCGTCAATCACGACACGTTAATTTTAAAATTGCAAGATGTCGGAATTTCCAGTGACGCTCTCCAATGGTTTCGTAGTTACCTAAGCAACAGGACACAAGTAGTACGAATCCATTCAACGCTATCTGAGCCTTTGTCTGTGACCAACGGCGTCCCTCAAGGAAGTATCTTAGGCCCACTACTATTTAGCATATATACGAACGATCTTCCATCGATCCCACAGAAATGCAGCACTCAGAGTTATGTAGATGATACGAANTCTGTGGATAATTCCTCTAAACTGTGCAACTCCGTTAATGTTTTTAAAAAACGTTTAAGGACCAAATTACTCAAAGAGTTGTAATTTTATTTGTATATTTGTATACTTTTATTTTTCTTTTAGAACATTCAGATTTTAAAACATCTTTAATTGTAAATAGGATTTTTTAATTGTAATAGGATTATTTTTATAACATTGTCTTTGAAAAGCCCCCTTGGGGAAAGTCAATAAAGTATGTATGTATGCATGCATGCATGCATGCATGCATGTATGTATGTATGTATGTATGTATGTATGTATGGGATGGTTGTTAGTCATCATGATAATCATCATGATGATTTTTTGACAATTATCTCACCTTTAGAGGAGGAAAACAAATTCGAACAACAACTGCAAAAATTTTAAAGTCAGAAGTAGAACCTGGCTGCTTTCCTCTGTCAAGTATTTATCAACAAGCTGATCTGAATAAAACAAGTCCAATAGGCAAGTGGATAATTCACTGATACTGTAAATCCTCTAATAAGTACCCCCTCTACTGAGCCACCTCCCTCTGATAAGCCCCCCCCTCTTTAGAGGAAGAAATTTATTAAGCCCCCCTATTAAGCTCTCCCCATCCCCCCTCAAAAAAAAAACAATAATTCAAAATAACACTCCATGTCTGTAAGTATGATAAATTTATCCAAGTACTATAATTAATTTCAGTTTGTCATTTAAAATTGATAATGGTGATTGATTGAATGATGTTATCATGTTGACATCAATAGAATATGGTATATGGAAATTACAAAGCGATGCTAAAGATATAACATGGCTAAACAAGGTCCACTGAGAGAGCTACATAATAAAAATGTTAGAAGCTTGACTTCAAGCTTCATGTGCTTAAGTTTTTCCATGCTAAATTAATGAGTTTCCTCCCCCTCTATTAAGCCCCTAGGCACCTCTAATAAGCCAACCCCCCCCCCCCCAAGTACCTGGAATTGATAAGCCCCCAAGGGGGCTTATTAGAGGATTTACGGTATCTGAACATACAAAAATGCAAGAAACACTAGAAATAGCTTTGCCTAATAAAGTGAAAACCTTTTATCTAACCAAGAAATGTTCATCAGTAATGGAAAGAAAATAAGGATCTGTTTATTGTTGCAGCCTGGTTCAATTCCATTGGGAAATCTAACACAAAATACAACTTACCTAATTTTTAAATGTGGCTTTCATTCACTTCTGAAAGGATCTTCGATGCAAAACATACTTTAAGTTCATCAAGGTAAATTAGATCCTCATCTGATGATTCCATTTTTTGCAAGCACTCTCTCAGATCAGATATCAATGATGGTCCCTTTGAAGACAACAAAATATTTAAGATAAAATAACCAGAGCAATAATTTCAATATTAAAAAAAAACTATTCAAGAAACTATCTAATAACTTATAATGGTGCCAAGCTTGTGAACAAAATTCTCCATCATCATTAATACCATTTCAAGACTTACATCAACATCCTTATATACATTAGATTCCTCAATATCGAGCTTTCACTAGAGTTTGAACAAAAACAAAAATAGATAAGTCAGTTTGCATCTAAAACTTGAACAGGTCATTCCACATTAAAGTGGTAACTATCAATCATTAACAATATAAATAAGGTAATTGTAGATTTTGTTAATAGAATAAAAAGGTTTCGATCTGAAGTTTTAAATAGTGGTGTACATTGTATTATATAATTATAATATGGGTATACATAACTATATGTCTTCATAGATATTATTATTATTTTTTAATCATCTTTGTCCAGTGTAATTTAAAACACCAATTACCAGCCATTGGAGGGTTTCCTTGGCCCACTCTTTCCAAGAGGACTATTTCTTGGCTCAAATATTGATTCTGGTGCTCCTGATGTTGCTGCTGTCTGTGTAGGTGATACTGATGTTCCTCCGGATGGCCTCACAGATACAGAGTCTATCATGGGTCTTATCATCTGACCAAATGAACTGAAAAATTTCACTTCAAACTTATTTAATGATCATCTAAAATTCAGGGATTTTTCTTAGAGAATAGTCTTAACTGACATGACCAAACTGTAGCTACTGCGAAAAACAGAGGATAATCTGGGTGGGTTTAATACACCCTCAACAGTCATTAACCTAATCCCACTATTAAATTTAACACTTCTTCATCTACATTTGTTCACCCTTCCTCCATGCCCTAGTCTTTATATTCAACTTCTTAGATCTTCACCACTTGAACTTATTCAAACACATTAGGCTGCTTCATATCATCAAAATCAACAGCTAGCATACAGTGTAAATGACTTCTCTGTTGCTGTTATTTTTAATTATTGTGTCACTGTATTACCTGTTCAGAACCTCTGAGGGAAGGTCTTGAATATGTTGTGGTATCTTATTCCCAGTCAGGAACGTGGCCACTTCTGATGAAAAGGTGTTGCAGTTGTGTTCAAACAAGTTATAATTTTCTCCTCTGATAATGAATTTAAAACCAAAATTGTGTTAAATGATTTCAGTCCATACCTTAACTTGCTAATC